GGCATGCAGTAAAGATTGCGGGGCAGTGAGTTGCTGCCTGCAGAGGCCACGATGCTTGTACTCCCAAGTCTGCCCACCAGTGATGTATCCACCCTGGCTTTGGGGTGCCTCATTGTTCCCCTCTTTCTGTCTGTCTGTGTATTCTTTTGCTATCTCTATTGCCGCCAGGTATCTCCTCCTTGTGAACTGAACCCCTATGTCGAGGACAGTCCCCAACATCAAACGACATATTGTATTAGGGAATTGTGCTAAACAAAACATCTTCAAAGTGCTTCACTTGACCTAAGCCATGGTATTTTCAGTAGCTCATATACGTGTGAAAGTTGGTCAATGAATAAGGAAGACTATAGAAGAACTGATGCATTTGAGTTATGATGTTGGAGAAAAATAATGGATGTACCATTGAAAATAATGCAAGTACTTCATTTCTCATACTTCAGACATGTAATCAAGAGAAACTAGTCCCTGGAGAAGGACATCATGCATGTTAAAGTGGAGAGTCACTGAAAAAGAACACCCTTAACAAGATGGATTTACACAATTGCAGCAGCAGTAAATTCAAGCTTAACAACAATTGGGAACATGATATAGCACCTGGCAGTGTTTCATTCTGTTGTGTATAGGGTCGCTATGTGTCAAAACCAACTCAGCGCCACCTAGCAACAAGAACAACAATGTCTAAACTCGCCTGTATTTTTTTTTTTTTCAGTCTCCTTTTTTCTGTTCCCTGATTCTGTTATCACCTTCCGTCCTCTTCCTCCCTTTTCTCTTCCTTATAATTCATTCGTATCTCTTTCTCAATCCTTTCTTTCCCCCTCTTCTCCAAATATCAAAGAAGCTTTATGCCGATTTGTTTCTGTGCAACTGAAAACTAGTCAGTTTTCTTAGTCAGTCTGACCATTTAAGACTGGAGATTTTTACTGTCCTTCTGACCTCTTCCCTCACCCCCTGCTTTAAAGAGATTAATCTGCCTGGAGGAAAAGTAAAGAAAGAGAATGTATGGGAATAAGCATGGCATATTGAGCACCATATTGTTCATAATCTTCATTTTAGAGACAGACTCTGTTGCACATTGTCATTGAAGAACAAATATCCCCAAGTGTTTGGGTTTCATAATCCCTGTAAAAATTCGTGCTGGGATTTGAGTTGGCTCAATTGAAGGCCATTCTAGCTTTCCAATTTGCAAAAGTAAGCAGTTATATAATACCAGCATCATATTTGAATGTAGTGGGCACCCTCTGAGTAAGACTGAGCAGAGAAATCAGCTGGGGTGTCATTTCACTTGTCACTAGAGACCTCTATTCTGAATCTATTGTGTTGTTGTTGTTAAGTGCCTTCAAGTCAGTTCCAACTCATAGAAACCCTGTATAAGTTTTCTAATGCTTTAAATCTTTGCAGTAGCTGAAAGCTTCATCTTTCTCACAAAGAACCTTATGGTTCACAACCATATACTTATCATACAGAGAGCCACTGCACTCCCTCTGTATGGGATAGCAGCTATACATATAAAAACCTATTTTCATATGCAAAGTCTAACTATTTATTTTTCCTGTTTCTGGGAGTTATTAATGTGGGTTTTTTAATGTGATGACAGCAGCGGACAAATTTAGTTTATTAGTGTTGTTGTTAAGTGCTGTTGAGTCAGTTCCAACTCATAGTTGCCCTGTATAGGGTTTATGAGGAGCGACTGGTAGGGTTTACAAGGAGCAACTGGTGAGTTCCAATTTCTGACCTTGTAATTCAAACCAACATTGAGTTTCAGTACTTACCCTACAATACCACATCAGGGCTCCTTATTAGTGCTGATAAAAGTGGCTGTGCCTCAGGAACACAGACAGAAAACTATGCAACAATGTTCATTGAAGCATTTTACACAGTAACAACAAGGTGTAAACAACCCAAGTATTTATCAATTGATGAATGCATGAACAAAATGGGCTAAATGCTTACAATGGAATGTTACTCATCTTGAAGAAAAGTAGAGTTCTGATTTACACCCTCGGAAACCCCGTACAGGGTCACTATGGGTCGGAACCGACTCGACAGCACTTAACAACAACAACAACAGAGTTCTGATACTTGCTATAACACGGATGAACCTTGAAAATATTATGCTGAGATAAGTCAGTCACAAAAGAACAATTATTGTATGACCTCATTGACATGAAAACACCAGAAACACTGCTTTCATGAGCATTGAAAGTGGAGCCATGTAAAATTATATCCTTGAGAACTTCAATCTTATTTCTGTTTATCATGGTGTTGTGTATTGGTGCAATTGTAAGGATTTGTATTTTATATTGCCGTGTTATCCATACTGATTGGAGCCCTGGTGTGGCACTGTGTAAGCATGGACTGCTAACCCTATGTTCAATGGTTCAAACCCACCAGCCACTCCTTGAAAACACTCTTCTAAGTAGTTATCACTCAGTACTGACTGGACCACACTTAACAACAACATAGTATCCAAAATGGTGATTAGGAGAAAACAAGAAAGGAAAACTTTGTAGGGCTCATTGAATTTGTGTTAAAGCTGTTGGAATCATTTGGAAAAGAATACTGGAAAAGGTTATACAACTTGAAGAATGAAATCAGTAGTCATTGAATTATACATATAGAAATTGTTAAGATAGAGTGTGTTTTGTTATGAATATTTTCACCACAATAAAATTTCTGAAAAAATGTCTTTCATTGACTATGCCAGTTTAGAAAGTCAAGCTTGAGTGATTTGTGTTGGCCTGGCATTTGCTTAGGTTCTGGAGGATGAGCCACTCACCTGCAGAGACATGTACTGAGCAGAAACTTCACACTCAAAGATTCTGTGTCTCTCTGCTTTTTCTTTTCCAGCCGGGATGTGTAAATACTACTGAAGTGGACATTAAGAAGTCATCTAGAATGAGAAACCCACACAAAACCCGAAAGGTAAAGTGATATTTGTTGTGCTTGGTCTTGGTAATGAGTTGAACCTTTATAGAACATCAGTCAATAATTTTTTTTTTTTTTTCCCCTATCTGATGGAGTATCCGCTAGTATCATTCCTGCCCTGCTTTGTGTTCTATATAGAACACTCAGGCCTTCGAGCTCTGATCTCTTGTCAACCTCTCTGTCCTCAGGAGTTCTGGTGTGGCTCTGTAGGATAAACATTCATCTGTTACCTGAAAGGTTGGCATTCAAACCCACAGTCACTCATTGGAATTCAGAACCAACTTAATGGTCTTAATAGCAGCAGCTGTCCTCAGGAACATCTTTTCCTATTTGCCATTAAGTTGATTCTGACTCACAGCAACCCAGTGTAGACAGCGCAGTAGAACTGTGCTCCGCAGGGTTGATTCTGACTCACAGCAACCCAATGTGGACAGCGCGGTAGAACTGTGCTCTGCAGGGTTGATCCCGACTCACAGCAACCCAATGTGGACAGCGCGGTAGAACTGTGATCCTCAGGTTTTTCAAGGCTGTGACGTTTCAGAAGCAGATCATCGGGACTTTCTTCCGAGGCTTCTCTGGGTGGAATCAAACTGCCAACATTTTGGTATTAGCCAACTCCTGGTGTGGCACTATAGGACCAGCACTTAACTTTGAACCACAAGGTTGGCAATTCAAACCCACCAGCTGCTCCTCAGAAACCCTGTACAGGTTCACTATGAGTGGGAACCTACTCAGTGACATTTAGCAACAAGTGCTGAAACATTTGCACCCTCCATGGACTCTTTATTTCTCTAACTTGCCCTGTTCCCAGGGCCCCTATGTGGTGCTGACTGGCTCTCATAGGAGAATATGTAAGGAAGGATCACTTCCTTCTGCCTCCCAGGGTGAACCATTAGCAGAGAAGAACATTAGTAGAATAGAAGATTGTTGAGTTTTGGGCCCAGAAGGGAAAAGCCTTCTTGAGTACACAGGTGCCTAGAGATCAAAGGGAAAAAAACACCAGAACTCATTCTGAGAGACATTAATTTATTACAGAAATAGAATAAAAGAGAGTTTATCCCGACAAAGGAATTTGCCTTTAAAGGATGTAATACAGATGTTTCCAGTGGCAACTGATTGGATTATGAATGGGGTGAGGGTGGAGACACTAGGGTCTTTTAATATCATGGGGCATTCACAAGTATAAGGGCACTTAAGGTTAGTACACAGAACTAGGAGATGAAGGAGGGTCAAAGGTGCCAAGTTGTCTGTCCCCTCCAAGAGAACAAAAGGGATTCCTCAAGCATAGCATATGGGAAGGAAGAGCTGTGGGTTCCTTCCTAGTATCTGCATAACTAAAGCAGGAGAACAAGATAGCTGGAGGAGGGGCTGGCGGCTCCTTCTTAGAGAGCAGGAGCAGGGGGAAGGAGATAGGATTTTGAGGTGACATTGGTGTGGTCATTTTGGAAGGCTCAGTTTGTGTCCCTACAAGATGGAAATTATCTGAGAAAAAGGCATAAGGATTAGAAAAGAGATACTTTTAGAAAAAAATCTGAGGAAAGAGGACTATATAAAATAGGTTTAATTACAAATAGAATATGGTGTTGTTAAGTGCAGTCTTATTGGTTCCAACCCATAGTGACAGCGCGGTAGAACTGTGCTCCGCAGGGTTGATTCTGACTCACAGAATCCGTTGATTCTGACTCACGCTGTCCCGTATAGGGTTTATGAGGAGCGACTAGTGAGCTTGAACTGCTGCTGATCTTGCGGTTCAAACCCACCTTGAAGTCCAAAGCATTAACCCACAGTGCCTCTTTTTAACACCAGAATTGTCTCATACAGTCATATTATATAATGAAAACAACAAACTAACTGCCATCTAGTAAAATTCTAAAGGACAGAGTAAAAGTTCCCATGATTCTAAATCTTTATAGACGCATACTGCCACATCTTTCTCCTGCAGAGTGGCTGATGGGTTGAAATCACTGACCCTTCTATTAGCAGCTGAGTGCTTTAACCACTGTACTTCCAGGGGTTCTATAGCCGTATGTTGGTGTTCTTGTGTGCCCTTGTGAGAAGCGTTGTACATACCGACAAACACTCAAGAAATCCAATTTGTACTCATTGTAGCAAGAGTGAGGTTTTCTTTATTCCATTTTGCAATACACAAGAGCAGACATGACACATGGCAGGCTCACAGAGTTTTATTCCCATTTACTCTCCCCCCAGTTTCACAATCTAGCCCAAATGGCACCCAGGGTCTTAATGACTTATTCTTATTGAAAGTTCCTAGTCCTAGAACAGATTACCCCCTACTCCCTTAATTCATTCTGCTTACACATCCCTGAGTGAGAATCAACAACCTATGTCCGATCTAGCAATCTCATGAATTCTTCATTCCTGAAGATAGACCATCTTGAGAATTTCTCACAAATCTTCCTCTTACACTTACAAAATAAGTGTAAATTATTGGTTTCATCTTCATTTATTCTTCTTAAACTTCATAAAATGTATCATTTCTGGATGTCCCTAAGAGTAGAGCTAACTATGCCTACATTGTTGTTGTTGTTGTTGTTAAGTGCCGTTGAGTCGGTTCCGACCCATAGCGACCCTGTAACAGGGTTTCCGAGGGTGTAAATCTTTACGGGAGTAGAAAGCCTCATCTTTCTCCCGCGGAGCGGCTGGTAGTTTCGAACCGCTGACCTTAAGGTTCGCAGCCCGATTCGTAACCACTACGCTACCAGAGCTCCTTTAGGTTGCATCATACTTGTGCCTGACATGATATAACTAAAACATGTACAACCGAAAATACACCAGCCCCATTTCCCTCTTGTATTATGAATGAACAAAGCAGAAATATTTGACACACACACAAATGTCTAAAATCCAATCTCCAGTGTGCCTCGTTCAGGCCATGGGCTTAGAGTCCATCGCTGCTCTTCCTTTCCTTGTCGCCACCTTTCCCACCATTGTTGCCAAACCGAAATGAGGGCTTGCTGCCTGTCACTGTAGTCAGTCACAGAGATGGGGAGAAATCCAACCTAAGTTTTATTAACAGAAAGACAGCAGTCTGGAGGCCAGAGAAATTAGCCTGTTAAGACCGTCCTGTCCATTATGAAAAGCAGGTACATTATACAGGGTAAGTTGATGTACACTTAATCCATTTTAACACCAAGACAGCATTTTTTTGGGAAAAAGAATAAAGCAATAAACTTCTTCAAACATGCTACTGTGAGAAACGTTATCTGTACTGACAACACTCAAGTAACCCAATCTGTACTCATTTTAAAGTAAGAGTGAAGTTTTCTTTACTCAATTTTACAAAATCGGTGCCCAACCCAGTAGACACGGGCAGATGCACCACATGACCTGCCACAAACGGTTTTTATTCTTGTTTCCAAAAAGCCCCTCCTCCAGTTCTGGTTCTCCATATACAATTCTATGGCAAGTCCCATTTTCCCTGCCCCCATTGAAGCCAAAATGGCGTACCTATGGTCTTAATGGCTCCTTTTAATTTCCCAGTCCTAGAAACAGCCTGCTTGTTTCAACAATCTGTTTGCCAGGTCTAGCAATCTCATGACTTCCTGAAGATGGACCACGCCCACAAGAGTTATTTCTCACAAATCCTCCTCTTTTCTATTTACACTTATTAGTCTTAGCTTCATTCATTCTTCTTAAATCCTCATAAAGTGTATCATTTCTCATTGTCCCTAAGAGTACAGCTAACTATGCCTTATTAGGTTGCATCATACTTACGCCTGACATAGTGTGACTAAAACACGTACAACCAAAAACGCACTGGCCCCATTGTCTTCTTATATATTATGAATGAACAAACCCTAAATCCTTGACGCACACATAAATGTCCAAAAGCCAATCTCCAGTCCATAGGCACACAGCCTCATTCAGTCCATGGGCCTAGAGTCCACAGCTGCTCCATGTCACCACATCTGCCACTGTCTCTGCTGTCACTTCTTCTTAAGGCAGGGATCCCAAGTTCCACTCATGCCCTTCCTTCTTGATGCCCTGGGATTGTCCGTTCCTGGAATGAAAAATAACTATTGCCTCCTTTTAGCTACATGTCTTCTATAATTACAGTTCTGGCCATCACAACCAGTACTACAGTTGAAATAATACACTCTTATCAGCCTCATTCTGTACCCCTTTTGACCAGATATATCTGGAAAACAGCAAAACTAGTTGGTGGGGATTTTCCCTTGACCCCTCCTTCTAAAACCAAGCACACCTATGAAAATTTGTCAAATCAGTCAAAGCAATAGTAATGTCTTTATTGCCCATCCTACCAATCCAGTACACTGAGAAGACATGCATGTTCCTCAATCTGAAGAGACTTTCATTCTGTTTGGGATTCTGATTGTGTCAGCTCAACAGCCCTAGCCATCTAAGCGAGGTCAAATGAGTATCAGCTGCAAGCTTGGGAGTTCACAAACCGCCCTGTACTTCAAAACAATCAGCTTTCCCTCTTATTTCATCTCAAGGTCAGTGGTGTATCAGCAATCATATTGCTGACTGGTTCCGTTTAACTTTTGGTTCTAAGAAGGCGTTTTCTTTGATGGGCCAACTTTTCTTGCCTAGAAGCCTCTGAAACTCAAAATGCCAAACTGTCTGCCTTTTTT